GGTCCTGGTTGCGCATCATTTCTTGCATCATGGCTGGGTTCCTGGCCAGCTCCATGGTCTGTGAGGTGTTATAAGAACAGGAAAGGAAACAACTGAATCAAGGTATCATTTTAAACAGAGCTTGTAAAATCCTTTAAAAAAAGGCAGATAATATAGTGGGAATCTAATATTGTGCTACCTGAATGACACATTCAGCCCTTCTTAGTTCTGTTTACCTGTCTCATAAGCTCAGGGTTGTTGAGCATGTGGGAGATCTCAGGGTTGCGTTCCATCAACTGTTGCATCTGAGGATTAGCCATAATCATCTGTCTCATCAAGTCTGGGTTTGACATCATGTTCTGCACCAGCGGGTTCTCCATAATTTGAGAAAGCATCTCTGGATTGGACATAAGCTGCCTCTGCATCTGCTGCTGCAGCTCCATGAAGTTAGCCGAGCCCATGCCCAGTCCAGCTAGACCACCCAGGTCACCGAAGCCAGCTGAAGGAGGAAAGATTGGAGAGTGCTGGTTAAACACACCGCATTTCTCAAACAGTGAAAGGTGTTTGCCTGTATAAAATTACACAAAGTTGCACTTACTCAGTATGTTGGGCGTCTGTGTGGGTGGTGGGGCTGAGCCAGTAGAACCTGTTGTGGTTGAGGGGTTGGTGCCTGGATTTGAAGTGGAGGTACTGCCTGCTTGGGTGGATGTTGAGCTAGAGGCTGATGTGCTACCACCATCTGCCGCCCTACAGAGATGATTTTTTTGGGGGGGAAAAGACAAACTTAGTAATGCTGTGAACGCCTTGTGCTTTGAAGAGAAACATGAATCCAAATGCACAAAAAAGACTGAACTGTAAATCTAATGAATCCTTTTTGAAGACAGACACGAAGCATTTGGTTGAATCAGCATGTTTGTTGACTTACTTGTGTGCTGTTTTTATGACCAAGTGCACTGTCAGGCCATCTTTGATGCCATGTTGGCTGAGGCTGTCGCCATCTTTTAAGATTTTCCCTGCAAAAATCAGAACCAGCTGGTCCTGTTTGGCTTTGAATCGCCTCGAGATCTCTTCTTTAAACTAAAAGACAAGAAAAAAGTAAAAACATAAGAAGTGAAGCAGAAAATGTCTTACAAAAAGAGAAGAGATGGAGACAGAAACTGGAAATGAAAATTACAATATAAAGGAAGAGATGATTACTCACGTGACATGCTGCTATTATCTGGTTCTGTTTTGATGCAAACCTCTGGCATTACAGATGCCATTTCTAAATATCCCATTATCTGGGACCATGCACTCTAAATCTATCAGATTACCACTAGTCTTTCAACACTTTGTGAAAATTACATTGATAAAGTACACTTTTGATGAGTATTTTAAGGACAAAGGAAAAAGAAATCACTAGCACCCTATAATCGGCCTTCCTGACTGCAATCAGCCCTTTAGAAAATCAGAATGGTCAATGTCTACCTGTTACTTTTCATCAACTTTACTCTGTTTGATAAAACATGAAAAGCTTTAAGACCACTTTCTGTAAAAGAAGAATTTAAAAAAGGAATCAGTACCATGGTTTAATAATGTCCCAGAATTGTTGACTACTATCGTTTCGTTCACAGGGGCCTAGCAACCTCTGTGTAAAAGCAGCACAGAATCTACACAAGTAAATACGCATGATTATACAATGCAACTTAAACAATTTAATACTTATACATGTAACCTGGTCATTGCACTAAATGTTATGTACACCAAACAAACACAGGCCCGTGTGCATGAACAGATTAAAGAACACGGCTAGCATGTATGAACAGTGAAACCACAACCATTCAGTGGCAACGCAGCCATAACAAACACATCTGAAGAGATTATCCTTTTATTGTGATTAAAAAGACTGCGTTATGCTTTCAGTGCCCCACGTCGCCAAGCCAACAGTAACACTGAGAAACTGTATATTCCCAAGAAAGCCCAATGACTCAGGGGCAGCACTGAGAATGTTCTAGAGGGAAAGCAAAGTTTAGCTTTCGCTAAAGCCGTCGGGCTGAAACAGAAAATTAAAGTATGTTGTAAATCCGAAACCCCTGTCGTGGTTACATCAACTATCGGTTATATCGGTTCCTACTTGTGGTAGTGGCATAACTAAAGCGTCAGCTGACACTTGTTTGGCTACATAGTTAGCTAATGGCTCTGCTAGCAAGTTGGCTGGCTAACTTGCTAAGTGCTAACACTTAGCAGGCTAACCGGTTCGCAATTTCATCTATTGTGTGGTCATATTCCTCGATTGGATGTCACCAACGTTAATATCACCGAACATTTGTTACCCTAAGCGGCAACATTTCCGCTAAACACAGCCCCTTTAATTTCACAAAGCCCCTGGTTGCCGGCTAGAGTGACGACAAATGCTAACAGGGCTAGCTCGTTAGCTTCCTAGCTGAACTTGTGGGCAGAGGCATGACGTTAGAGGCGCAGCAGCTAGCTCCCCACCAGCAAAACCCAACCAACCTGAGTAACAGAGGCATCTTCTGCGATGGCGATTTCTTCTTTGTCTTTAGGAGTTTTCACTGTGACCTTTATAATAGTTCCCTCGGAGGCTTCAGGTTTATTATTGTTGTTATTACCAGGATCTGCGGCGCCTTGGTCAGCCATCTTTACTCCGCCGATGGAACAGCTCGGGTCTTGGCGTCGGCTTCCGGATCATGAGAGGTCAAAACCTCTTTCCAGAACGAATTTCACAAGCTCCCGTATGTACGCTGTCTCTGCCTGGTCATCATTGGTCATCACATGTATCACCAGAGGAAACGGATGTTCTAAAACATCACACGTGTGATTAACATCCCCACCCCCCAAATAAACAAAATCGGAAATGATTTTCTAAAACATGTCTGCACTATAATCAGGCTTTTGGCAGCACATCGGGTATCTTACATACATTCTTTATTTTAGACCGGCGTATTCTTATTTATTTATTTAGGTATTAGGTGAGAGATAAGCCACCCAAGCTTTCATACATTTATCGATTTTCTCTATTCAAACTTTACAAAAACAAAACAAAATTTATTTAAACTTAAAGCATATAGAAACAAAACGTTCTGTTTTTAAAAGTACAGTGCTGAGCCATATTCGTCCATGGAAATACAATATATACGGAAAAAAACAAACTTTGTAAATAGGAAAAGTAATAGTAAACAAATCAAGTGAAGGTCCAGATGCATCTCTCAGGTTCTGTATCAGGGCTTTACTGGATTTTTTCCTGTCCCTTAAGGACGTGACTTTCATCCATCATCTGCTGTGTTTTCAGCAGTTTAGCTCTTTGGTAATCAACTTTTTATTGCAAAACTGCTGTCTTATGCCGATCAAATTGTGTCATCTTTGGCCTTTTTCACAGATTCAGCTATAGAAATGTAAAACAATCATGTGTTTTTGTGATAGCCTGTGCCTAAAATAATATGTAAGGTATCTATTAAGTGTAGACAAAACAGCGATTACTCTCGTGAGTTTAGGTGCCTCTTTAAGCTTTAATGATTCATAGGTCAGTGTTAGGTGGCTTAAAAAATGGCCAGGCACTATGGCTGGACTGAAAATGAGAGAAAAAACCATCAACGTTCAAAGAATAAGTTAGAAAGGCCTCCAGAAAGCCTGTAGAATTATTGCTCAAGACCACTTATAAATTTACAGGAAGGTCTGGCTCTCTGGAAGCAAAATATAAAGACACGATGGGGTGATCGATACTTTTGCACAGTACTATAGGTTTTTGTTAATTAATTAACCCTTGTGATGAACCTTTATGCAGTGTTTTTTATTTATTTATTTTAGGTAAAGTCCTTTAACATTTCCTTTATCTGTTGGTTTAGTGTTTTGTCTATTAAGGATATGAACTCTGTCAGCAGTATTGTTAACACCTGCTTCAAAGTCACAGGGGCCAAGCAGAGACATCTGTGCTCACTCTTTGGGAAATCAGATAATGAAGCAGGCAATAAAAATTATTAACATATTTTTCATCTGATTTCAGGAAGTTCCTCCTAGGTCACCATTTCTGTGTACCCCAGAGTGGATCAAATGTATACTTTAAATCCTTCACTCCCGCGGCTATTAGATTACTCAACACTGACAGGGTCCATTTAGATTATTTTTTTCTATGATTGTTCATTTTTAGATACTTGTCCTGTTTATTTATTTTATGTTTAATGTATTTATTTTAATTCTTTTCCCATGACCTCATTCTTTGTTGATCTCTGCCTTGACATGCAACAGTGTTTGTGTTTAAGGACTAGGTTGTGTGAGCAGGTTGTGTCCGTAAGATGCAAACAAATAGTCCTTTTTTGGCATTAATAAAGTGATCTGAATCTCAATCGACTAAGCATAGATGATTTTCATGTATGTACCCCTTTTCCAATATACATGTAACTGTATCTAGAAAAAGTGGACAGATTTTCTAAAAAGCATCATAGGTTCGTCATAGGTAGGTTTAGGATAAGGGTGTGTGGGTGTGATAAGGTTTATAGTGAGAGTACAGAAATTCCCTACGTCAGTGAGTATTTTCACAGTGACCAAACATCCAAGTGTGTGGTGTGTTTTTTCCTATTTCATTTTGTGAACCATATAAGTTGTTTTTAAAATGTTTCAGACTAGTTAAAAATCTCCTTTATAACCTTGTCTGCAGGGTAGAGCTCGTGATCTGAACATATACTGTATCAGGTTTAAATTGTGACAGAGATACGGCTTGTATAGAGCGCTGCCTCTATATGTGTCTGTACATGCTGCCACAGGGGGTAAGAGCTGAAAGAAAAGTGTTTGCTTCAGCATGTTGCATTGACACTGACAGTCCTGCATACCTATGCACATCCCCAGTTCTAGAGCAAGCCATTTACAAACAAACAAAACCCCCCAAAAGGAACACCCCTTCTCTAAGGGCACACGAATGCCAGAGACTGCGCACACACACACGCACAAACACACACACACGCACACGCGTGTCATTTGCACCGTGGCCCCTGTGGTGTTTCATTCAAGTGTATCTCACTGAGCGAGACTCATGGCAGCAAAAGATTTTGCTTTCCTCAACAAAAAATCAGAGGGGACAACTTTACAGTTGTAGTATTGTCTCTGACTCTCTCGCTCTCTTTCCAGCCTGCTCTCTCTTCTCCCCCTCTGCCTGTTCGTATTTACTCTATCTACCTCTGGAAGGCGGGCAGTAGAGAAAGGTGCATTTCCAGAAACGAGGTAAGGGATCAGATTTAACTGCTATTTTTGAGTGTTTATCCTCCAGTGTCACGTTTGCGTTCATGGTCACTTACTGCTGAAGAAGAACCGGCGTAACATGAGAAACAAACTGCGGCATCACACAGAGTAGCTGTTACACATATTTTGCTTGTTCAAGTCACAGTAATGTTTCCTCTAAAGAACAGGTAATGTTAACTGCTAATCAAATGCTGGATTTCTGTAAAAGACAGCTAAAAATGTGATTGTTCTAAGATTGTATATAGAGTAATATTTTCAATCAGATTCATGTTGTTCCAGTGTACTTGTTGTGGATTGGTTGGCTTTATGTGCTGTTTTCAAACTGGGCTAAAAAATTCATAATTAGCTCCCTTTCCCCTTTTTTTCCTGTCGCCTTTGTGTAGTTTTGGGATAATTTGAATGATCGTGAACATTTAATTTTCTGTTTAACGTATTTTAGGTTGGGTAATGTTCTACTATCACATATGCACAGAGCAAAGGCAGAAACACACTGCAGGTGTTTGTTTCAGCTGTGACATATTTAACCTTTTCTTTGCAGGTTTTGATCAAACGGGCTTTTACAGTGTAAGAAAAATGTCTATCGTTTTCTGTTTTTACAGGTGCTCTACAGCGGCCCCATTATCTCTGCTCAAAATGTACAGCTTCATGGGAGGGGGTCTGTTCTGTGCCATAGTGGGTAATATCCTGTTAGTGGTCTCCACTGCCACGGACTACTGGATGCAGTATCGACTCTCTGGAAATTATGCCCACCAGGGTCTCTGGAGGTACTGCATGTCCAACAAGTGCTACATGCAGACCGACAGCATAGGTAAGAGATCCAGGGTGTCTTCAGCCCATTGGACCACCACAGTATTTGTAACAAATCAAAGGAGTGTGTACATTTATATGTCTGTTTTTCATTTTTGGATATTGACATGGCTGTGAAATAAAATCAATTGAATTTCTTTGGCTCAACAATCAAAACAATCCTGTCATACATGCCTTGTTCATTTCTGTCTGTTTTCACCCAGCTTACTGGAATGCCACCAGGGCCTTCATGATCCTTTCAGGGATGTCGTGCTTTGCAGGCATCATTGCTGGCATCATGTCCTTTGCGCACTTTTCCTCCTTTGAAAGGTTCAACCGCTCCTTTGCCGCAGGAATCATGTTTTTCGTCTCAAGTGAGTTGTCTTTCTTTTGAGTCGGCAAAAACACACCAACAGAAACAGTAATAATGGCACTAGAATCACTGACATGTGCATCCCAATCGCCCTCTCAGCTTTCTTTGTTCTCCTGGCGATGGCCATCTACACTGGGGTGACAATCAACTTCCTGGGAAAGCGATTCGGTGACTGGCGTTTCTCTTGGTCATATATACTCGGCTGGGTGGCGATGCTCATGACCTTCTTTGCAGGTGAGAAAGGACATCCAGTTGCAAAAGTCAATAACTGCTTAAGTTACCATTAAATACCTAAAATCCGACCATTTGAATATATTTGATGATCAAAGCCTCATCTCGGCCTGTTGCAGGTATTTTCTACATATGTGCCTACAGAATGTGTGAATGCAGGAGAGGAACCGGACCACGCTAGAGCGAGACAGGCAGCTTGTTTGAGAAAATAAAGACATGCTGCCTCTTCGAATACACGAAAGGCAGAAAGGTGGCCTTGACTGATCTACTGAAGAGATTATGTCTTATACCGATGCTGGAGGTCTTTGATGGTCTGTTTAGCATGTTTTTAAAAAGTCACTGCAGTACAGACTTTCTTTTAGTCACAGTAACAATATAGAGGACAAACGAAACTAATAAAGCTATAACATGACTGATGCTGTTTTTACTAGTGTAATTTGTTACTGGCTTAAGTTTTGTGTGGAAATCTCACCAGGAGATGGCAGCACTAAAACACCACGGAAGTCCTATCTTAGTCAGATTTGATGAGGAATGTAGGGCCACTATATTAAACATCAAATCAGGGATTAAATACCTGGTAAGGTTGTCGTTTTTGTAGATCAGATTTTTATACAGTCACTCCTTTAACTTTCAGCACCGCAGACTAATGGAAATACTTTTTATTAATAAGCAAACTCTACTGGAGGAATGTATGTAATGCAAAAATATTAATCCACAAAGCAAAGAACAGCACATCAAACCTCTGTGGGGAATATTCTTGTCTCGGGGTTCCCCCTGAAGCTATCAGATTCAATACAGCTGACAAAGATTTCCCCAAAGTAATAGAAAAATATATGATCTTTTTTGGGCTGTTGTTTAAAGGCAGAGCTTTGCCTTTGATTTTTGACATCCCCTTAAGGCTTGACAGCTCATGGAAAACTAGAGGGAGATTGTTTGTGTTTGTGTGTCAAACAGGCTACAAACAGCAGAATAGATTTTGAGAGGAACGCCAAGCTCCCAGACCGGGGCACACATCAGGGCAGGGTCCACAGCAAGCGATTGTTTTACTGCCTTTATCTTTACTAACTGCTTCCGTCTTTTTCTTGGTACTCATCCACTTCTCGAATCAGCTGAAAGGAAGAGAGCAGGAGCTGTTCAGGTAATGAATGCTTGGCTACTCAATGACGCAGAAACAATGGGAGAAATGTAAACAGTCGGTGGACAGGTCCCTTGGTCCAAGTTTCCATACTTGGTCACCCGTGGCTGCTGTAGAGAGAGAAGCTTTGTAATATTGTGTGCTTTTCTCCAGATTCTTTCATAACCCTCTGTGAACCTTTCACCAGAGTCTGGGTTTACAGTCTGTGGTATGACTTGGCAATTTTTTCAATTTTGTTTTTATTTTAAGGACTTAATACAGTCCTGCAATAAGACATTTTTATAGCAGCAGAGTGAAACAAAGTAACAGAGTAAAGGGTACTGACATATTTTTATTCATCTATCTGTACACACATTTAAGATTTAAGGTTAACATTAGTGTTTTGTTTTTGATTTGTAACCAGAATCAAGAGAGGTTTATTATCAAATGAAAAGGTTATTAACTGGCAACTACACACGGTGGAAACACAAAAATGCAGGGGAGGTCGCCCTTCTAAGAGGTCTGCTCATAAATGTTTGCTGCTGTCACTGAGAGCACCTGGAAGGTTTTAGGTTTCACTGACACAACCTGATGATTTATGTGACAACATCTCTAGTAAATCTGACTTTGCAGACGTGTTATTTTTCTCACATCAAACACGCCATCCTTGTGCTGTCAGTCTGTTGGGGGATTTTGAAGACTTTTTTTTGGTTTTGGCACAAAGAGGTATCAAGAACAAGGCAAGGGGGTCCAACAAGTAATCCGAATATTTGATTTTAAAAAAAAGCAGTGTAGAAAAGTGGCATGCAAAATAGTGAGCACATTTGTAAATTAATGTCTAGCCACATTACATGAAAAGTGATGCTACACAAGAGCTTGAAATGTCTATTTGTACTGAATCATCATTTTTTTAAGTGGTGAAAGAAGTATTCAGACCCTCCACTTAACTAAAAGTCATAATACTTAAAAAAATATATATATAGCATGAAGGTCAAGATCAAAATGTACTTTATATGTACCCAAAATGTATGTAGGTTTAATGCAAAATCTTATCCATTAGATTATTGGATCAGAAACATTGATTCATTAATGGTCATGTCTCTTTAATGATGGCAATTGTCTAACCAACAGTAAAACTTTATATTAACATGTGAAACAAATGTAGTATAAACAGACATTCCGGTTTTTATTGGGCCATTTGACAAAAAAGCTTTTTAGATAACAAAAAAACCAAAACATTAAAATACACATTCATATATTATTCTGAATTTTTTTTTTTAATGTTCTGTGGATTTTGGCTTCAAATTAAACAAGATGGAGCATATGAGCAAGAGCCAAACGTCTCTTTGCCCGGGTCGTCCACCGACTGATTAGTTATTGCCCTCGGAGATGGAAGAGTACGCTGACACAGCGCGACCTTATAAAAACTGTCCTCGTCCCACCCCGGCACATCGTGTGGAGATTCATCCTAAACACCCTGTGCCAGGTTCCTGCTATTGCTGCTCACTCATTACTTTCACCATCAGCTTATAGTCACGCGTGCACAGTAAGTATGAAACGAGACGTGTTTTTGATCGCTTCTCGGTCCCTGAATGCATCTATTTTTATTACACTGTGATATTTCAGGGGCAAGTTACATGGACGTGGTTTTAGAAAGACTTTATTATGTAAGTGAACACAACACGAGACAAAGAAATAATGAAACATTTCACAGGCAAATAAAGAAGAAAAAACTATATAATTTAAACAACTTGTATAAATAAAAGTCTACACAGCAGTGAATATGAAATGGTTCATTTTACACTAAATACACATTTTCTGAGTGAAAGTCTGCTGCTCGTGTAATTGGAGAAAGCATTTTGGTTAAAAGTAGGATCAGTTTCTGTGGCACATATTTGGAGTTTGCAGTGAACCTTCTGCAACTGTAATTGGTCCCACATGAACCTTGATAATATATCAACAAAATCACAACGTTAACGTTTTGAACATCTTCATGTGATAAGAGGGTTTTTAATATTTTATGTTTTCTATATATTCAGTGTCATCTATTGCATTTTGGTTAAAGCTAACAACTAATCCAAAGAACCACTAAGTGAAAGTAATGCAGGAAAACGAGCATGACGACAGGTTTCTGGTCAACAGAAAAAGAAAAAAAAAAAAAAAATCCAGCTTTGGTCAAATTCCACTGCTCTCTCTGCTTTTGTGTTTCTTTTTTTAAAATCAAGCCACTGATATGCACCTTTTCACACTGAGACCTGTTACTGACAGGTAGCGAGGACTACAACACACCTATATATAACAATTTAGCAGCTAGCGGCTTTTATTAAATCAATCCTTCCTCCCGTGTAAAGGATTTGTCCACAAGCAAAAATGTAGACTTGATTGATCCTTCTTTGTGTTAATGACATAATCACTTCCACCCCAGGACAAGAAGCCCAGTTTCATACTGTTTTTGGTGTATTTTTATTTACTGTCAACCTCCTGTGCAGCTCATGTCTCTTGATCCTTTCTGGAAAGCAACGATTCTTTGTGGGGGGATTGTTTTGTTGTTGTTTTTTTTACAATGAACGAGGAACACGCAATTGACTGCTAATCTCTACCCTCTCCACCACATTGCACATTGCTTGAGCATCCAGACATTTCTCTTTGCTTTTATATTCATCCGCCAGTTCACGCCTGAAGGAATCAACGGAAAGGCCTTAAAGATCACAAGACGTGACGATGTAAAAAATGAAAAATCCTTTTGAAATTGTTACTGAAGCAAACCAGGGTGTAATTTCAGGCATGCGGTAATAACACGCTGTGCTTTGCTTTTCAAGTGAGCCTATGATAACAATGAAACTGAAAAGAAAAACATATATTTCAAATGGAGCTAGCTCAGTTTGATCTTACAGTTCCAGCAGAAAACAATAAAAAAAAAAAAAAAAAAAAAAAAAAGTCACAACAAATAATGAGAACATAAAGTCATACAGCTTTGAATCCGTGTTACAGTGTTACTCTGAAGTGGCTTCATATGTTTATTACCTATCAGATGCACGAAGCTAAACACAAACAGCGCAGCGCAGACTGGCCTTTAGCAGCATTATCGCACGTCGCTCAAGCTACTCACCGTGTTCAGTTTCAAGAATGCAGAAGAAGAAAAGCAACAGAATCATGAGGGGGTTAAGAGAATTTCTACATACAGTACATTGTAAAACAAGTAGTTAAAAAATGTAAATGTAACTGCCGCAAAAGAATAAAGACATCTTTAGCTCAAACTGTAACAGTGTACACAGAACAGAGTACATTAAGAACATTATACATACTTCCTATTTTCTTCTGCAGTGATCAACTCTGTTTTATTTTTGTGTCTGTTTTTTTTTAATTAATACAATCTTTAAACTCTGCAGACATCAGTTTTTAATTTAGTAAAATATTAGGACTGGGGAAAGCAGCATGGCTTTTTAAATCTTAATAACTGTCACAGAGACTTAACCTAATTTTATCTCTGCCACACAAAAAAAAAAACAACCCCAAAAGACAAATTATCCACAAAGTTTGACTTAGTAGCTCAAAACTCAAAAACTTGCCATTTTGGTCACGCTTTTTAATAATGTTACACTATTCAGGATTAAGAAGGTATTAGAAAGTGCTTGATTCACCATTTATATAGTAAATATAATAGATATATATGATATGACCATTAGTATAATTATGCTTATTACCAGTGTCTGTGCATGGTGTTAACACATCTGTATTTATAAATGACATAATAAGGAGGAGTAAAAATATATAAATGATGAATTAAGCACTTGCTAGTAGCGTACTAAAGAGCCAGGATTGTGCCCGTTTCATTGATATTTCTTTAAAAGATTTCATAGTTTTAGGAGGAACTGTGACTTTCCTTGTAATCTTACACTTTTAAGTCACCTTGTGTTTCCAGTGTCAGATTCTACCTTTTTACTGGAATGTGTGAGAAACCCTACAGCCTCCAGCTACTAACTCTTTACAAGTGCCCTCTCTGAAAACAAGAGAACGGGTCAAGCTACACCTCTGTTTAGCTGACAGGTAAATGTCAGTAAGGTCATCAGTGATATATTATTGAGTTACATGGTTTAGAAGGGTGTGTCTTGACATCTGGTATTTTAGCTCTCAGATTCCCTCTTTTCCAAGCCTGTCTGGTTAATACAGGTTTTGAGTTAGAAAAAACCGAAGAATAAAAAGATCACATCCTTCGTCGCCAGACATGATATGACATGATCACCAGATATTATACTGGGGATTCTGGGATGTGTGGTCTTTGGAGCAGTAGGTACCTG